CAGAAACGGATTATAATCACGCCTACCTTGCGCAACCAAGAGGTGGGCGGGAGTCGAAGATCCCCGGGGGTTGCACACTGCGGTTTCTTCAGCCACACCCAGTCTCCCTGCCCACAGAAAGCATAAGGGGGCAATTAGGTAAAGGTAAAGGTTCCCTTTGCTTGAAAGCCAGTCGAGTCCGACTCCAGGGTTGCGGTGCTCATCTCCGTTTCAAAGCCGAAGAGCCAGCGCTGTCCGAAGACGTTTCCGTGGTCATGTGGCCGGCATGATGACTAAACACCAAGGCGCACGGAACGCTGTGACCTTCCCACCAAAGTGGTCCCTATTTATCTACTTGAAATTTCTTGCTTTCGAACTGCTAGGTTGGCAGGAGCTGGAACTAGAGACGGGAGCTCACTCCATCACGCGGCACACTCGGGTCTCGAACTGCTGAACTACCGACCTTCCACAGTCTGCAGTTTAGCGTCCACAGCTCCTCATATGAACCAAACATCCCAATAATTCCCCGTTCTGCTGTTGGGGGAGACTGCTGTGAAAGAGGGGCAGGCGTGCCTCTGCTGCGTGATCCCTGATCGCAAAGGACTCCTGGTGTGAGCTTTAGAGGATGCATTAACCCATAGTGTAAATGGCCTTCATTTTGTCAGCAAGCTGCCATAAGATGCTGTATTCATTTTCCGTGTTACTTTGCACCCTGCCCATCCCCCTTGTATTTTCCTGTGTAGGTGTTTACTGTCTTTTGCTGCTACATCTGTGGAACTGCTCAAGGTCAACCAGCTGGAGGTGGGATGGAATGATGGCATTGCTTGGCTTATTATGTATATCATGCCTGAGAACTGAACTAGTGTTTATGTTGCAGAACCGTTGTGTTCCCAAGGAATTGGGTGCTCATTTTATCTGTCTTCCCGCCAGCGGGAAGTGGACTCATTGGTCCTCACCTGGTTCAAAGTTCCTTTATTATGTTCCCTTAGGGGGCTTGTAGTTATTCCTAACAATGCTTGTGTTCTGATCTATCATCGCTTTATAATAAACTCTACTTTGTTCTTCAAACGTGGATTTATTCGAATGCATGGGGAAGCGGACACATTTGTATTTACTTATTTGCCTTATTTATATCTCACCGTTCTTCCCGGCAGGGACACGACATGGCTTACGCTGCTCTCCTCTCCTCCATTTCATCCTCACAACAACCCTGTGAGGTAGGCTGGGCTGAGAGTGTGCACGACTGGCCCGAGGGAATGGCGACCCTCAGGGGTCATTACCTGCAGGAGTGCACAGGAGCGGAGCTCCGGCAGTAAAGAGCCCAGGGGGCGGGCACATGCAACAAGCCCCGCCCCCTGCTCCCAGCAGCCCTCAGTCAGAGCAAGAAGCAGCCAGGTAAGTTGCAGGGCCCTCCCCGGCCCCCCGGTCCCAAACAGTCCAGCGGCACCTATAAGACCAAGTTTTGTTCAGGTACAAGCTCTCCCTCCTCTGTGAGGACAGATCTGCACATTCTCCCCCCCTCCAATAGCTAGCAATCCAAAACAGTCCAGTGGAGCCTGAGCGGTGGGTGTTGCCTTCCGGCGATGTCAAGGGGTGTGGCACACGCAAATGAGTTACGCTAATGAGCTCCTGCACCTCTTTTTCTACAAAATGACCCCTGCTCAGAGGTATTAATCCAAAAAGAGACCTCCCAGCTAGGGCCTATGCTGGCTGGGCCAGCCTGTCTCTCAAGAGGGAGAGAGATGCCTCCCAAGCGACACAATGGCCATACCGAGTCAGGGGTTCCTCCTACCTCATAGATCGCCACGTTGGAGGTTTCATGGGTCACAGCTGCGCTCTTCATGGAGCAAGTCGCTGACCTCAGGCTTCGGCCTTCGGAGTGGCTCTTGCTCTGGCTGAGGTTGTCCAGGGTCAGCCTCTGTGAAGGCAAAGGAACCAGAGTGGCAGGAAATGGCCCCCAGTCAGCCATGGTTCTACCATGAACAGACAAACAGGAAGTGATGCGTTGCCATCCGGATGGATGGTGGCAGGACTTTCCTCTGAGGAGAGAGGCTTTATTTTATTTTATTTATTTATT